GCTGCCCCTCCACTCTACCAAACATGATGTCCCTCTCCAAGGACCAGTCCCTCCTTGCAACATGCCCAAAGTATGTCAGATGAAGCTTCAGAATCCTTGACTCCAGGGAACATTCTGGCTTCACCCTCTCCAGGACAAACCTGTTTGTTCTCCTAGCAGTCCATGGTATATTCAACACTCTTCTCCAGCACCACAGCTCAAAAGCATCAATTCTCTATCAACCCTAGTTTGGTTTTGTTGAGGTTTTTTGAGAGGATTAGCTGTTTTCTCCTTTAGTCCTCTTTCCATCGCGTATGTGTTAGTGTGTGCATCCGAGAAAGACAGAACTCACACACGCTAGCATGTGTGGGCAGGAGCTTGCTGCAAGCTCTGAAGGATGTTGAGAGCAGGTGGCCTAAGAAGCTGTTTTACAGAAAAGAGGATGATAACTCGTAGCAACTCTGAGGTCCACTTACATCTTGCTTGGGGACAAGGCCAGCCCCAGCTGTGCACACTCACTCTAGGTAGTCAGCTTGTGAATTCTGACATTTTCACACCAGAGTGTTAGTTTTCACGCCAGAGCTGTTTCATATGGGCTACCTTACCGTCACTTTAACACCATTACATTTTGTTTCTCACTCTCATTTGACTTAGTTTTCACTCAAATTTTTTGCCTGATAATTATTTACATTTTTCATTTTTTAAAGTCAGCGGAGAGGCATAAAATAAATATAAGTGCATTTCTTTTTCCCCTCCACATTCATAATTTAGAATTCTGAAAGAAAAGTCCAGCCTGGCTTTGATCCCATTTCACCCGGTGTAACAGGGTGGTAATTGCCCAGCCTGCCACTAGCTTCTCCCTCAAAGTCTTGCCTTTTTTCCGTTTAATCTTCTCAGATTCCTTTGTTCCTTTGACTCCATTTGTGGCCCGTGTTTCCCTTTGTGTCCTTTTTCTCATGTCTCCTCTTCAGATTAAAGGCCTTTGCTCTATTCATACGACAGACACGCTTCTTCGCGTTAAAAAAATAACAACAAAACCCGTCCTGGCACAAGTGGGACTTGGGGCGCCTCCACCTCTGCCTTTCCTTCTCCTCCTGTGATTCTTCAGTACCAAAAGTCCCCAGCCCTGACCCTCTACCCTTTTCTATCCACACCTAACCCTAACCATAACCCTCACAAGCCCAGGTCTTTATCCGTTCATTTGATTGATGCCCAGATCTTGTATCCCAGCTTCGAAGTGTACTGGGCGTGTGGCCTGCGGAAGCCATACCTCCTCTGAGCTTCCTCCTTCCGTCCATCCAGTCATCCGTCCAGGCAGCAAAGACGCCCCCAGTTGCCATGCCCTGTACTGGAGTTGAAACCTGGCAGGCTGAGAGACACTGGGGCTGCCCAGTGCTGTAAGATAAAGGAATAAGGAATGTCTGTCTTATACAGGAATGTGTAAAACGTAGCAGAGGTGACGGAGGCTGAGTGCGTTGGCCAGCATGTGTGTGGGTCCTCAGAAAAGGTCATCTCTTAATACAGATGAACAGGGATATAGTCCTGACCTCTCTTTAGAAGATACATGTTTTTATCTCAGTCAGAACCTTTCAGTTTTCACTCCGACTTGAAATGTGTTCTTTGCCACTTTGAGCAGATCTTGTTCTCTAAGCCAGCTTCCTTTCCCAGTCTCCCTTTTTATGTCAAAAGCATGGTCATTTGCCTCATCATCTGTGTTTGAAAGCTGAGACTGGGGAGGTAGGTGGCCTCAGGTTTCTGTGAGCAGACACCGTTTTTATTGCACTCTTCCCTGTCATACCCCCTGTCTACTAAATATTCCAAAGGGTTTTTTGGCAGATTTAAAAATTCTTTCCTTCTTTCCTGGTTGAATAGCTAGTCATCCTGTTCTAATCTAAACGTCACTATTTCAAGGATGAATCTGGCTTCTTGTGCTCCTAAGACCCTGTCAGTGTGTCAGTCAGGGCAAAAAGAAACAATAATCTCCTTCATCTGGTTGTTTGAATGTATCTAGTTGTATATTTGAAACATGGGATCCTTCAAAGTCTAGAATAACAGGAGATTGAGAAACCTTGTCTTGAACAACTGAACTGGTTTCTTTATTTCAGTTCGGCCTGTGTTTTTTTATTTACAATTTATCTCTGAGACATCCAGTATTTACGTTTACTTATAGAAAGGGTTTTCAGGAAGTGTATTTTTTTTACTTACTGTGTAAGCAGTGAACTATACCTTCACACAAATACACAGTTTTAATTGAGCTTGTGACATTTGACTGTTGGAATACAGGCTTTCTTTCAGCTTCGGGCTTCTAAAAATATTGATGTGACCACACACCTTTTACCCACCAGCCCATTTTTATTCCCTTTTGCTTCTTTTTTTTTAACCAAAATAGGTGTAAACGTACTCAATTAAGGAGAATACAAAAGGGGGGGGGGGAATGGAACGCACGTATTACATCTTAAGGTTTCACAACCGAGGCAGTTCTGTTAGAGTTGCTAGGCTTGGTTATTTATTTCACTCATAAGTATCCATTGAGTTAATCTCAGCATGCCACATGCTGCCAACCACTCGGTGAGGGTGGCCTACACTTGTCATCTACCAGTGAATCAGCCCCGTCCCAGGTGATGTGGGGCACCATGCCTTAAGGTCCTGCTCTGTCCCTGCTCTCTGACTCCTGAGGACCAGACCTCCGTGATCCACAAAGGTTTTCATTTGCTGGTTTTTGGAAGGAGACCATGGGCCTTTGTTTCTAGTCTGTTTTAGACTGGAAACTCACAGCAACATGCAAGCCACACCTGACAGGTGCTGCCTGCTCATAGGTGCACAAGCCAGGAATCAACGGCGGCTTCCCAGGTGGCAGGCGGGAATCCCGCCACTTCATTGCCAGTGCTGGCCTGTCTGGGATCAGCAGCCCTCTGCCCTGTTTTTATATTCCCCCAGGCCAAAGTGGTTTACATTTGTAAAGGGTAATCAAAACAAAACAACCGAAAAGAAGCAAAGTCTGAAGTATTTACTGTCTGGTTCTTAGCCCAAGTTTGCCTGTTCCTGGCTTAGGGCATTTCCCTGGTTGCTGAAGCTTATAGTTTAGCTGGAAAGATAAGCGATGAGCAAGGTTGCAAGTAAACAAAAGAATTCATTTTCAGATTCTGATGAGGATAGGAAGGAGGGAAATTAGACGGGAGAGTGGCGTGACGCTGGGGCACGTGGTAGGGATTAGGGAAGGACTCTGGGGAGACGGGACTTGGGGATTAGACCAGAACAGTAACAATCAATGAACAACTCTGAAGATCTGGGCCAACTCACCCGCTCTCAAGGTCTCACGTTGCGTGTCGTCTTCAGCTCTAGAAGCCTCCCTCCCCACGGGGCTCAGCCCTCTGCTAGTTCTTTTAGGAGGCCCTCTCCGACACCCTCTTTAAGATTACTTCGACTCTAGCATTTCTCACATTAAAATTGCCAGCTTTCCTTCCTGAGCTACCATGACTCAACGGCACATGACAGCAACAACAAGACCTTTTGATTTTAGTAGTCACATGTCTAGCATAGAACTTATTAAGTACAATAGCTAGTTAAATGAATGTGTCAACTCAAGATTAGATGTCACCAGTCAGCTTGGCAAGAGTCACGTGCTCCCTAAGTTTAACTTTGTTTTTTATCCTACCCTCCCTTTCAGGCGTGTACATTCTTGCCACTTCTTTCTCTCTGCTTCCACCATTGTGGTTTGTTGTTTTGTATTTTTTGCTGTTGGGTTTTCCACCCTGACTTCTGAAATAGATGTGTTGCCTTAACCCCATCAGGACCACTGTCTGTATTATTAAGCGACACTATCATCTTCCATTTGATCAAGACCCCAAACTAGGAATTATCCTTGATTCTTTCCATCCCCTCATTTATGTGCCCATCAGCATCGGGGTCTCCAGAATGGAAGGCAGCCCTGTGTCTCTGCTGTCAGTACCTTGCCAGCTGCGCCTGTCACCTGATCACAGCTGACCGTGCTCACTGGTCTTCCTGCTTCCCCTCTTAACCCTTCTTGTATTCATTGTTCACACAGAGGCCAACACATCCTTCCAAATGCAAAATCAGATCTTAGCAGTCTCTAAATGGAAGCATTTTTTATACTAGATTATTTACAAACAGAAACATTTAAATTGGCTGTTCATTGGCCTCAAAGCCCTTTAACTACTGACTGCAGAATCTTACCCCTTCTTTGCCTTGCCTTGCCTTGCCTTGCCTTGCCGTGCCTTGCCTTACCTTACCTTACCTTACCCCACCCTCAGCCTGCAGCTGTACTAGTCTCACCTCACCCCCTCTGAGGACCTTGTATTTTATGTTCCTTGTTTGGTTTCCTGACTCCTCCTCATATAGAGCTCATTTCTTCAGAACAATCTTCCTTTATCACAACATTCTGTCCTTGTTCTCGAAGCAGCACTTAACTTCTCTCTGATTTCTCTTGTCTTTTTCCTTATTATTTGGTTTATCATCTGTTTTCTCTGTGACAGTGAAAGCTCCAACAGTTAAAAGGACCTCTGGGTTTGAAAAGCCCTTGGATAAAATAGGCACGAAATAAGTATGTGTTGACTCACTGGGTAAAGAAGGTAGCTGTAGAATCTGTGTTTTCATACTTCTCTTGCCTCTTCTCTCTAAACTGGAAGCTACAAGCCCAGTGTGTACGTGTCTCTCTCCTGAACATCCTAACGTAACTTGTAGCGCAGGACGCAGGACAGGTATTTAAGAAATACTTCCCAGATGGAATTGTTAAGCAGACCGAATATTAATCTGATCAACATTGTAGATACTAACACTAGATAGAGCTGAGTTTACACAGCTACCTACACCCTGAAGATGTTCCCATTCCTGACTCCTGACCCCGTGTTTGATGTTAGTGGTTAGTAGTGACAGGTGCCTGATTTAATGGTAGCCCTAGTGAAAGGCTGTGGGGGGAGGACTCGGACAGCCCGATGCCTTCTCACGGTGTTAACTGCTCTTGTTTTCTTTTCCTCCTTTTTCCCTCCTTTTTCTCCATGCAGAGTACGAATTGGAAGTCAAGAGAGTGCAAGACATTCTTTCAGGAATAGAGAGACCACAGGTATGTCTTCTAGATTTCTCATGAATGACACCTCATATGATTTCTCATGTGTACCCTTTTTCCCCACCATGCAGTAAGTAATCCAAAGTAACCCTGCTCATTGGAGATTACTCAGACTGTAAACTCATGTTCAGTTACTAACGGTGCATGAAAATCTGGAAAAAAGGCCGTCTTCTGCTTACTCACCGTCCACTAAAGGGCTTCTTTATTTAAATATCCTAAATACCCCACAATTAGTCTTTTCCAATTAGGCTTTTTTTTTTAACCCACCCCCTTCAAATTTAAAAAAAGTTTTCTTTGGGATAGTTTTCTTTTACCTGCATAAATGTAGTAAAAATAATGTTTTAAAACCTTAATAATTCCAAGCATTTTTCCCAGGTAAAGAGTTTTTTTAAAAATGTAAATATTAACTGAGAAAAGTCTTAAGGTAATGAGTGCAGTGACAAGAAAAAGTATTGAGAATGGTGAGATGGTGAGGTTTTAAACTTGATTTGGCTGGATGCATTTATTTTCAAGTGAAAAATTCAGAAGGTTGGTTTATCCTTTCATCTGTCATTGGAGAGCCGAAGTTCTGAACAGGAGCGTATTGGAGCTGAACTGAAGAACCTTGATGTCTTCATGTGCTTCCAATACTGAAGCTTTTTAACCCAAGAGTCCAGGTGCCTTGGGGCACATAGTTGAGTTGCCTCAGCCTAAAAGATTGGCACAGGACTGGGTGGGGTTTCTTTCGGTTGTACACTGGGTAGCTGGGAGTCAGCTTAAAGGCAACTAACAATAACAATGAAAGCGTGAGGTGTGTTAGAGAAAGGCTGTGAATGGGTCCTTATGAGAGAACAGAACGTTGGTGTTGGGGCATCTTATAGCAGGCCCTTCATGCATGCAAAGCTGTCTTTTTCATGTTAAGCACTTTGCAGATGAATTAGAGTGAAAAGAAAATGAAACTGGAAGAAATGGTAAGAATCTAGCTTTGTGATTTTGGAGAAAGACTGTGGCAGCCAGAATTAGGATGATGGCTTTAGGTAAATGAGTAAGGTACGATATGACCTGTTACATACTGGATGCCACGGATACACTTGGGCTTGCAGGTTTAGATGCCTCATCTAAGGACTTGCTTCCTTTACAGTCTTGTTCATAAGCTGATAGTGAGCGGCTTACCCAGTAAGACCTCCTACCCAGCACTTCCTTAGGCCCGTCTTCTCTGCCTGCCACCAGCCTTTACTGTTCTGTATATTGTTCTGCCTTTACCTGTTGGCCAGGCTTTGTGCTAACCTGTGAATGCTTCTACGATAGATTCCTGCCTATGTTCCATTTTATATTTTCAGTGTCATTCTCAGGAATTTGGATTTGTAACTAGCAGGGCATCCAAAGAGATAAGTGTATTGTGTATCGGTCAGTTGCACATCCATCCATCTATCATCTATCTATCGATCGATCGATCTCTAGTGAACCCATGCTGTAGAGTGAGGAAGGGTAAGATACTAATTTAGAGGTCACATGCAAAAGAATGACAGAATTATGTTAGGATGGTGGTGGTGGTTATTGTTGACTGCCGTCGAGTCTAGGTCAACTCATAGCGACCCTATGAACAAAAGACGTAATGCCTTTCCATAGCTATCGTTCTTTCTCCAAGTTCATAGTTTCCAGAGGCATATGGTTTAGGAAGTGGATGCCACTCTTGTGTCCCAACCTGATTTACAACCGGGAGCTCTACCAGACACTGTCCACAATGAGAAACCATTCTGGTATTTGATACCCCAATAACACAAGGTTCAGCATCACAGCAAACCCAGGTTACTGCATACAGCACATTGACAAAGAGTGATGTGCAAAGTGGGAGAATGTTCCTCCAGCTATAACAGCACTAGTCTCATTTAGCGGTGGTATTAAGATGGTAGGTTTGAAAAATGCTGGGAGAGATTTAAAGAAGCTTATGGTGAAATCGTGGGGAAAGGTCACCTTTATTATACAGCAGGCGGAAGAGATGGCATCTGGAAAACTGGCTTTGTAATCAGAGAGCAACAAGTCGATTCTCTGCCCCAGATTCAGTCAGAAACCTTCATATTTGTGGCTCTTGCTTATGTACCTAAACACAGTGTTTTTCAGTTTTTCTCATCACTTCTCTACCACAGAAATCACAGCATCTGTTTCTGAGGATGATGTCAATCTAACGGGTTAAAAACAATGCTTGGGTACATTGACTGTTTCCTCAAACTCAGCATTTACTAAACATTCCCTGTGTGCAGCCTTTCTTGTGGAAAGCGAAGATGGCTTGAAGCACTTACCAAAGAAGATCAGAGGCAGTCAGTATAGATTACACCCCAACATCAAGAAAACATAAATCCTCTCCCGAGTCAGCAGGCAGCACCGTGATAGTTAGAGATGAGATGGAAGATGCCGGTGATTTCCTATGACTTGGACCTACAGTCAACGCCCATGGAAGCACGAGTCAGGATACCAAATAACTCATTTTGGGGGAATCTGCTGTCAAGGCCTGTTTGAGAGCATGAACGAGCAAAGATGTCACTTGAAAGACTAAGGTGCACCTGATCCAAACCACAGCATTTTCAGTTGCTCATATACACTTAAAAATTGGGCAGTAAATAAGGAAGAGCCAAGAAGACTTGATGACTGGATTGTGGTATTGGTCAAGAATACTGAGTGTCCCATGGACTGTCAAAGACTAAAGAAGTACGTCTTAGAGGAAGTATCGGCAGAGGTGAGGGTGGTAGAATGTGTTGAACGCAAGTCCTTGGAGGAGGACATTATACCTGGAAATGTAGGCAATTGATAAAGGAAAGGGAGACCCTCCAAGAGGTGAACTGACAGTCACGGCGGCAACAGGCTTGAGTGTGGTGGGGACTGTGATCATGATGGAGGGAGCGGTACTTCAGTCTATTGTACATCGGGTTGCTGTGAGTCAAAATCAACTTAATGTATTTCACCACCACATCAGTAGCAGGCACAGAACATTGTTTTTAGAGCAGGGTAGGCAGAATTGTTTATAAATAGCACTGTTCAGAGGTATCAGATGCCAAGATTGTCATCTGAGCATTTTTGTCTGTGTCCGCTGGAAACAAGGACGGCGTGACCACAGAGGAAGCGGATGGTTTTGGCTGTGCCCGTCTCAACCTGGAAGAGGCAGCTCTGTCCCCAGTGGAAAGGTGACGTTTCCGAGCCCAGTGCCTTGAGGCCGAGGCAGCTCTTTCTCCAGTGGAAAGGTGACGTTTCCGAGCCCAGTGCCTTGAGGCCTTAGAATCATGGAGCTGACCCTCCTTGTTTGAGGCCTTTTGAGAATTAGCTTTTGTTACAACCAGCAGTAGGTGCCCTAGTGCTGAAATGCATAGTATAGTAGACAACATGTTACACAGGCGTGTTACAAGGCAGGACCAGTCCTTGGAGAGAAATGTCATGCTTGGGAGGGTGGAGGGACAGCACAGGAGAGGAAGACTCTCAATGAGATGGATTGATTCCGTCACTGGGGTAATGGAGATAGGCATGTTGGAGACAGTAAGGTTGGCTCAGGACAGAGCAGGGTTTAGGACTGTTGTCCATAGGGTCACTATGAGTCGGAAGTGACTCGATAGCACGTTTTAACAACAGTCCATAGGCGGGCAGTCCAAACCCAGCGGTGGTTTCCTGGGAGAGGAACAAGCAGAAAGATGGGGAAGTAAAGATGTGGAGGAGAATGAAGAGGGTGAAGAGGTGGGAAGAGAAAGAGACCTGGAAACAAACTAGACCAGACTGAGAGGGTTGGGGGGACTGTTGTTGGACAAGAAGGGCTAGTCAAGGGATGGGAGGTAAGCAGAATAATGGCCCTGGAGCCAATGACCGTGTTACCATCCATGGTCTTGCAGATGGGAGAAAATCAAGGATCCTCAGATGTGGACATGATTCTTGATTATACAGTTGGCTCTGTGGTCTCTATAAGAGGGGAGGACGTTGGAGAGTCAGAGAAGGAGACACGGCATTGGGTGCACACTCAGAGAGAAAGATCCGCAAACACAACATTGCTGGCGTCAAAGAGGGGGAGGGAAGGGGCCACAGTCAAGGATCAAGAAAGGAAAGGGCTGTGGGGCCAGTGATGTCAGGGGTGGGGGGTGGGAACACAACACCGGGCTTGAGTTAAGCTGGCCATTCCCCAGACAAGGATAGGCACGGTGGCATTTACCTGAGCGAATTTATCCACTGTGGCTTCAGACACTCAGTCTGTTATAAACATGGTAATTATAATGCTTCTGACTTCAAGTTCTAGAAATTCAGAATGTCAGTGTTTAGGAACCTGCATTATCTTGTGGCATTCTAACAGTGCACCAGAGTCAGACCCAGGAAGGTTATCATAAACTAAAAGAGGTAACAGAATCACATGCATAAAAATCACCAACTACACATGAAGAAATGTTCAAAATCCCTAGCTCTGAGAGAGATGCAAATCAAGACAACTATGAGATACCATCTCACACCAGTCAGAATAGCAAAATTTAACAAAACAACAAGCAACAAATGCTGGCGAGGTTGTGGAGAGACTGGAACCCTTATTCACTGTTGGTGGGAGTGTAAAATGGCGCAACCACTGTGGAAGGCGGTGTGGCGCTTTCTCAAAAAGTTGCAAATAGAGATACCATTTGACCCAGCAATTCCACTACTGGGAATAGACCCTAAAGAGACCATAAACGACATCCAAGCAGATATATGCGCACCCATGTTTATCATGGCTTTGTTCAAAATAGTAAGGAGTTGGAAACAACCTAACTGCCCATCAACAAACGAATGGATAGAGAAGCTGTGGTATATTCACACAATGGAATACTATGCTGCATTGAAAAACAAGGAACTCATGCAATATTATTCAAAATGAGTGACCCTAGAGGGCATTATGCTGAGTGAAATATCTCAGTCACAAAAGGACAAATATTATATGGTGCCACTGTTGTAGAATGAGGCTGACATTGGGGTGGGGCTAAGACTGAGAAAAACTGGATAAATTATTTTTTACTGCATTG